CCCTGGGCCAGCTAATGCCTTATGGCCTGCTGTCAGCTCCAGGCATTAGCCTTAGAGGGGAAGCCTCCCTCAAAGGCTGCTATCACCTTGGCAGGATATTTCCTTTGCAACTCAGTTGCAGCGGTAGTAATTGTTGCGGTAGTCATTTCCCGTGGCAAGTTCAGATGGCATAACCGAAGATATTAGAGATGGTGGCACCGACAGAATGCCTCTGCAACTTGGGCGTTACAAATATTGCCTCAGCAACTTGGTTGCCTCGGTCGTCTCTTCCCTTCGGCAACTCCAAATGATCGTGACACCAACATTACTTGGAATGGTGGCGGCGCCGAAGATGCTTAGACTGGCAGCGCTGAGACAAAATGCCTCAACAACTCTACCGCTACACATGTTCCCTTGGCAACTTTCCAATGGCGGTGGAACCGAAGTTAATAGGACTGGTGGCGTTGAGACAAAGTGCCTCAACAACTCTGCCACTGCACATGTCCCCTAGGCAACTTCACTGCTGCAAGTGCTGCCTCTGCAACTTGACTTGGGCATTTTTTCATCGTTGAGTTCATCTGGAGCCTTGATGGGTCTGACCTGCCTCGGCCCACTTGTTGGCCCACTTCCCTTGGGCTTTGGCCCACGCTCCTCTCTTATTCCTAGTCGCCTTCTCAGGGCGATCTTAGTGCTTGGGTCCATACTTAGTTTGGGGTTCAATTTCTGACCCCCTACAGATATTGAGGAAATAGCCATGGTGATTGACAAGGAGGGTAGCTAGGTGTGAAGAAAATAAGCATTCGAACAGTCCATTTTTAGGCAAAGAATGTTGTCTATCAAGATTTTGAACTTGGGGGTTTTTTTGTATAGATTGTCCGTCCAATTGTGTAAAGTCAATTTTGATGGATAGACAACCATTAGTTTGGAGAAATTTGGTAAGTATGATCTTAAATTAAATTAGTTTTAATGATAAATACAATTCAGTGTGTTTGGTTTCAATTTTTTAGACGTTGAATTTTTTATTTTTTCATTTTTTTTTATTTTTAGTAAATATTTTTAAAATTTTAAGCAATTGTTTTACTCTTTTAGAGGCACCTTACTTAGATATATCTAAAAAGTAAAATATTAGTGAAAAAATAATTTAAAAAATTAATAAATACACAAAAATATAAAAAATGTACTAAATTTTTGTATTTTTATATATATATTTTATATTTAGTGATTATTTTGAAGATTTTTTTTTTCACAAATATTATACTTTTTAAGTGTATTTATGTGGTGTTTTGGAAATATGGTTAAAAATTGATTTTTTTTTGACTTTTTTTTTTTAATTTTTCTTGTTTGAAAAAACATGTAAAAAATGTGAGAGATGATATGACTCAAAATGAGTTAAAAGCTGAAAAGTAACTAATTAAAAAAAATAATTTAAAATATTAAAAAAATTCAATAAAAATAAAAAAATACGAAAGCTAAAAATTAAAATTTTTTGAAAAGTAAATTATGAAAATAAGTAATTGATTTTAGTGATAGGTTAACAGTGCTAAATAAGTTCAGTTTCAACAGTATGTGTAGCATGTAAGGTCAATGATGAATAAAATTACAAAAATTACTTTCATTCCCAGTAAAAACCAAAAACTGTCTTTAGGGGTGCAAATTTGGCGTGGGCCCGGCCCGACCCAGCCCATGTCGGATTTCACCAGTTCTCATTAAAATTTGGGTCGGGCCGGTCCACAGGCCGAAAAATAGGCCCAAGTTTAGGGGGTATTTGGACCTTGGATGGGCCGAGCTAGGTCTCGAGTCGAGCAAATGGGCCTTAGCCCGGACTTAGGTTTGGGTGGGTTTGAATATATTTTAAAATTTTTTATATTTTTTTCATCAAAAATTTATTATTTTTTACTAAAAATGACACCGAATCTCTGGTGGACTGGGCTTTGAGTGGGCCTTGTATAGGTCGATGGATGGGGCCACAGGCCGGCCTAGGGGGGCCTGACCTACGGGCTGGGCTGGACTTCAAAATGACACCCCAGGCCCAGGCTCAGGTTCTCAGGCCCGACCCTAACTAGGCCGGGCCCACACCCCAGGCTATGAACAAACTTCAGGCCGTCCACAGACCACAGATTATTTTTACACTCCTAATCGTCTTATTTTTTGTATCAGATTTTAACATTTGTCACAAAAATCCCTATATATACATTGACTATAGAAAAATCTGACAAATGCATTGTTCATCTTTTTTTTAGGGTGAATATCCATGTTGGTTGGTTCGGGTTTTTGATAGTAGGTGTTACAAAGCTTTTTTTCCTTATCTCTGTGCTACTACAAACCTAGAAAATTTATTCATAATTTTATACAGAAATACGGATGTAATTTTGGTTCATTTATGAGTAATAATATTGGATAAGGGTTTGTAACAACGTAAGAAAAGTCGAGAAGGTAATTTTTGAATCTGATTGACAGCTTTTTGGATTCTCTTCAATTGGATGCCATTGTTTAGGGCCTATTCTCATCCATTGCTGAAGTAGTTGTCATTGTTGATTTTATTATTAGTTTGTGTGGATTCGGATACTTGATGCATCTTGCATCTTCATTTAATTGAAAGAAATTACAGTATGAAGTGGAAGAAAAAAATTTCAAAACCATTGATACCTTCATTAGCTACCAGATTAGCTCACTTGTTAATAGAATCTCAAACATCTTCAACCCTCTTTTTTTTTTTTTTTTTTTTTTGGGGGGGGGGGGTTGTCCTTGAACATCAACAAAATTTGCAAAATTGGAGGGATTTATTTATTTATTATTATCATATGTGATTGTGGGAACTTTCTGGAGTCTCAAATATTTTCTATTTTCAAATTAAATTTTTGAATTTTTTTTTTAAAATTATAAATTAATTTGATAAACATAAACACTAAAAAAGTTATTTTTGTCTTAAAAAAAAGAGAAAATTAAATAAAATGATTTTTAATAAAAAGATTTTGAAGCAGGGCTTTATATTTTTGGGTTGGTGGTGCGCATAATGCCAACATTTCTAGCGGACGTAGTTTCGATTTAATTAATAATTACTTGGCCATCAAGCCAAAATAAATATTTTCCTTATAGTTTCCTATTTTAATATAATAATAATAATAAGTGGGTTTCGGAGTTTCATAGCGGACATTTGGGAACATCAATAAAAAGTCAAAAATCAATTTTTTAATTTCTTTTGAGTTATATTATTTTTACATAAGAAAATTAAAAAAGTTAGTTTTTAACTATATTCTCAAAACACCGCACAATCTTGGTTAGGCATGTGGGTTAGGATGAGTTGAGCCTAAAATAGTCACAAAAAGATAAAATAAACTTTTTAGTCCTAGGCTAAAAGTTGTCTCATCCAAATAATAATTATTTTAATTTTCTCTCGCAAAAGTCAAAAAAATCAAAAAATTCATCCTAAACGAGGCTATTTTAGTCCCACGCTAAAATAGTCAAAAAATTAAAAAATTAAAAAACCAATTCACATCCCAACCGATGCCTTATGTTAAGATTCATGTTAGGAATCTCAAGGAATCTTTGAGGATTCATATGATCCAATAATAATTTTTAATATCAAACTATTTTGATTGATTGATTTAATTACTTTTTTATAATGAAATTTAGAATTGTTTGTGATTCAAATAATTTAAGGGGTTTTCTTTATGAAAAAACAAATTAATTTTTTATGAAATAATTTAAATAATTAATTTTTTATGAAATAACTATTATTTTATCGGTTGGGAATAGTATTTGTGTATGTATCAATTGAATTATACAAAATAGATTTGTGTGTGAAATTTATCTAAGATGTTTCTCTAGTCACTGTACACTTTACACACTTAATACTTTCTTGTGTATATGAAATTTCTCTAACTTGCCTATAAAATTTCTTTGCAAATGTAGTCATTTACCATCTTGTGTATTTGATTTTCACTTGACAAATTACACACACTACAGGAAAAAGGGGATTTGGTGGCCTTTTTTTAACGACGTTTTTTTAAACGTCACTGTTATTAGTATTTAATGGCGTTTTATAAAACGCCGCGTATTCTATTAAACAAAACGACACCGTTTTATAATGGGAGGCGTTTAAAAACGCCTCCGAATGCGGTGCCACATGCCCCTCTTTTTTTTTCTTTTTTTTTTTTTGAACAAGAACACGCGCCTCCGAATACATATGCACAGATCCCGTTCTCTCTCTCTCTCTCTCTCAACCCTTAATACATACGCACAGATCTCTCTCTCACAACCCTTAATACATAAGCATAGATCGTGCCATCGAAGATTCAGATCTAAGCTTCATCGCGAAGATTCAGATCGAAGCTCCATCGATGCGCCTGCGATTTCGAAGCTCCATCGCCTGCGATTTCGAAGCTCCATTGAAGCGATTTCAAAGATTCTGATCTACTTTGTTTCTGAACTGTAATCGGCACTCTCTGTCTCTCTTTCTCGCTCTATTTGTGGTCTTCTGAGTTCATTTGTGATTAAATTGGAGTTTGGCGATGAGTATGACGCAATGGTGTTGAAACTTTTCCTAGTTTTTCATTTTTTTTATTAGATAGTTTTGTGTTTAGTTCCTCTGATTTTATTTTGTTGTCCTGTTTTTTCATGATTTGATCTTCTGCTCTTGTTATTGATGCATCTATTATGGACAATCCCATTCAAGTGTCTTCAAGTCTAAAACATAAAATTTTATAATGACAAATGTTAACTAAATGCTTGTGAGATTTTTTTTATTTTTTATACCATCAGGTTACTTCGCAATATATTATTTGCTTTCATTAATGTCTAATTAATTATCTTTAAACAAGAGAATCAACTATGATTACTCCACACTATATCCATCATTGATCGATGCATGGGATTCTGAAAGCAGTCTGCTTAACTTTAATTGGTACCAAGGCTACCCCTTTGTTTATGAAAGAATTGGATCCAAAAAACCATATGAAAAAAAATAATGAAGCTAGTTGTTGAAAAAATTTCAAAATAAATTCTCAAAACTCAACCAATCGTAACAAGGAATAAACCAAGTTCGGTTATTTGTATAAGCAAAAATAATGTTGGCTTCAACTCTCAACAAATGGTTAGGGAAGCATAAAATAAAATAAAGCCAATAAGTTGAAGCTGGTGTACATCAAACAGTTCAAATACCATTATATATCTATTTCACAAAATCAATACAGATAATTGTTAAAATTTTAAACACCTACTAAATTACACAAGTCTGACTCTAATATAATTTAATATTCAGCATTATTTAGCAAAAAACAACCCTCTCCATATATAAATTTAGAGTATTATTATTCTTACATATATTGGGTACTGGAAATTTACTGGAGAAGAGCTTCAGCTAGTTATGATGATAAGAAATGCACCCGAGCAAGAGGATACTCCTGTCCAGCTATGAAAACACCAGTTTGTGACCACTTGATATCCTCCCAATCAAGATTTTCTTCCAACACCTGTTCAAATAAATAAATAAATAATCGAATTCATAAAAAGGAAAATCAGAAAAATGAACAGTCTTTTGAAACAAAAACAAATTATTCTAGTCAATTCTCCTATGAAACAGTGACAAAGTGGATTGTTCAATTAATTTTCCCGTTAGGCAGAAAGAACCTTGTCACTCAAAGATCTTTTACCAAGTAATCTCTGTTATGTGAGGCTAAAATTGTAATATCATGTAAAATCCCTTTCTTTTCTATTTAATTTAACCAAATAGAACGAGTGAAAAACAATTTCCATTTCCTAGAGATATTTTTCACCACCCTACCTTTCCTTGCTAATATCTAGTGTACCAAAAGGAGCATTAGATTTGAAGTTAACGCTGTAGTTAGATTAGGAACCAGGGCTTGAGGCAGTTTACAAAAACCCAAAAACTATCTACATTAAAGTTGGGGATAATAGTTGATTTCATTAGCAATCTGAAGAGATGGAGATTGCACAACACCCGACTCTCAAAAGATATGAAGATTGCAAGCTGCGATTGATTGCAAAAGGTGCAATTCTATGACCATGATTACAAAACATATCATCTTTTAAGAGGTCAAGAAGAAAAAAAACATTTCATAAATCTTAAATATTGGGTCAATTATTTCTCATAGTGACCAGCACTATGATTGTGATTGTGATTGTGGTTGTGATTGTGATTGTGATTGCGAATGTGATTCCTCATTTGGTGGCTGCTCTTTGGTGTTTTTTGAATCATCATCCGAAGTATTCGAGCTTTGGTACACTTATTGGTTTGGGTAGTGGGTTTGAACTTCCCACATCCATGAGTTCCTGCCAAAATTATTCTATTATTGATGGATTTGAGAGAGCAATGTATTTCTTGAATCTATCATAATCTATCAAGAGCATTGTAGAAACTTTTGGTTTCTTCATTAATATGCTTCATACTAGATATGCTTCTAGTATGCTTGATAGTACTAATTTAGATTGCACCACCGGGATGCAATCATTAATGATGCATGCATGCATAAATAGCCTTAGCCCCGTCCAAGAATCTTCATTAGAGATACCTAGTCATCTTTGATGAAGCTCTTCTTGGATTGCCCGGTTTGGACAGTTCAGGAGCACAAATCTGTATTGTAATTAGTAGTTCTACTGCTTATAGTCCATTTCGTAGAGATTTCATGTAGCAACTCCTTGTGTTCTCCGAGTGCATACTAGACAAGGTGTAGCAGTACACCTAGTCTATGTCGTGTATTTGGAGAACCATGGGGAGATGCTGCCGAAATTTCGTTAGAGATGAACAGAGCGGTATGAACTGCTTTTTACAATATAGACCGTGCATTCCTGAATGGGAAAGTAGGATGAACCAACATATTAGAGACCAGTTAGAGGTGAATGATGTCATGTCGCATGCATTATAAGGTACTTAATTGAGGTTAAGATTAATTAAAATGGAACGGTAATTTTGACCTTTGTTGATTTGGCAGTGACATTTGTAGTGTAAGACAGAGTCAGATGGATAAAAGTTGGATAAATCAGCATAGGTTGCACCCGGAATACATACAAGGGGTTAAGGAATTTATTAAATTTGCATGTGAAAATAAGCCGTTGTTGAATGAAGTCACATGCCCATGTAAACGGTGTCGTAATGTCAAATTGGTGGAGAAAGGCCTGGTAGGGGAACATTTAATGATCAATGGGTTTCTTCCAAGTTACACCAGTTGGATTTTTCATGGGAAGAATTTGTCATCGCCTGTGTCACACAATGTGAATGTCGGGAAAACTGATTCGAACGATGGTGATGAAACTTTTGAAATGCTATACGAAGGATTTGGACTTTCTCTACCAAGCTTTATTCACGAGGCAGCAAGTTCTGGTATTAAACAAGGTCCATATGAGAAAACCGAAAAATTCTTCAATTTATTGAAAGAGGCCGAAAGAAAGTTGTATCCTGAGTGTCAGAAGTTTTCAACGCTCTCATTTATTGTTCGGTTATTGCACATCAAGTGTCTTAGTGGATGGAGTGACAAGTCTTTCATGATGTTGCTCGAGCTTTTGAAGGATTCGTTCCCAAAGGGTGAAACTTTGCCAAAGTCATTTTATGCAACTAGGAAACTTCTTAGGGACTTGGGCCTCGATTATCATAAGGTACATGCATGCCCAATGGATTGTTCACTATATTGGAAGGAAACAGCTGGTATCGATGATTGCATAGTGTGTCATATGCCTAGATACAAATAGTTTGAGGGGGGAGGAGAATGATGTTAAGAAGAAGCAACGAAGAATTCCGCATAAGATTGCTAGATACTTTCCATTGATTCTAAGGCTTCAAAGATTGTTTATGTCATCCACAACATCTTCTTTAATGAGATGGCATGCAGAGGGCCGAATTGATGACGGCAAAATGAGACATCCCGCTGACTCTCCAATTTGGAAAAATTTTGATAATTTGTATCCCAAGTTTGTGAGTGAGCCTCGCAATGTTAGACTGGGTTTAGCAGCGGATGGATTCAATCCATTCAAGGCAATGAATGTCTCTCATAGCAGTTGGCCAGTTATTATAATGCCATACAATTTGCCACCATGGTTGTGCATGAAGCAGCCTCATATGATGATGACATTGCTCATCGATGGTCCTTCTTCACCTGGAAATAATAGTGACGTCTACTTACTCCTTGTAGTGGATGAATTGAAAGAGCTGTGGGAAAACGGTGTTGACACGTATGATGCAGAAACTAATCAGATGTTCCGAATGCATGCTGTGTTATTGTGGACTATAAATGATTTTCCTGCCTATGCAATTTTGTCTGGATGGAGCACGAAAGGCGCTTTAGCTTGTCCTTGTTGTAACATACATACTCGTTCTCAATATTTGAAGAACGGAAGGAAATTATGTTACATGGGGCATCGTTGCTGGTTGAATGAGGGTGACAAATTTCGGAAAGCTAGTGCGTCTTTTGATGGCACTCGTGAATTCGAACCACGTCCAACTCGGTTATCAGGGGCTAATATGCTACAACAACTAGGCCCTAAGTTCAAATTGAATTCTAAGCGTCAACAATCTAGCAAACGGAATAGAAAGGGGAAAGAAAATGAGGAAAATGAGGATTCGGGTCATAATTAGAAGAAGAAGAGTATTTTCTTTGAGCTATCATATTGGGAGCATAATTTGATTCGCCACAATCTTGATATGATGCACATTGAAAAGAACGTGTGTGATAATGTATTGTGGACGATATTAAATGTTGATGGGAAAGGGAAGGACAATTTAAATACTCGTCGAGATCTGCAAGATATGGGAATTCAGAAGGCACTACATCCTCAGAAAAGGGTTGGGAACAAGTATTATTTGCCTCCTGTATGTTTTGCCATGAACAATAGAGAGAAAAATCTATTCTGCACACTTCTAAAGAATATCAAACTTCCAGATGGTTACGCATCCAATATTTCTCGTCGGGTTAACCTCAAACAGCGTAGCATATCTGTACTGAAAAGTCATGATAACCATATACTCATGCAACAAATATTTCCAATAGTAGTGAGAAATTTTTTACCGAAGAAAGTGGTTGAACCATTAATTGAGTTAAGCAATTTCTTCAGGCAGTTGTGTTTCAAAACCCTAGAGGTGGATGGTCTAAATCGTCTTCAGTCCCAAATCGCTCTTACACTTTGCCATCTTGAGAGAATTTTTCCTCCATCATTTTTCGATATAATGGAGCACTTACCCATTCACCTAGCAGAGGAAACGAAGATTGCCGGTCCAGTGCAATATCGATGGATGTACTTTATAGAAAGGTGTGTAATTCTACTCCAATGTCCATTTTGTATATATTTGATTGTTTATACTTTGAAGTCATGTATGCATCTTTTTGTTTATAGGTACCTTATAATGCTTAAATCATACATGCGTAATCGAAGTCATCCTGAAGGTTCAATTGCACAGGGATACTTGGTCGAAGAATGTATGACATTTTGCTCAAGGTACTTGCATGATGTTGAGTCGAAATTGCATCGACCGTTAAGGAATTGCGATGTTAGTGACAATCCTGAGATATTAATGGGGCGGGCTTTAGGAAAAGGAAAAGGGTTTGTTCTTGATAATACAACATGGGTACAGGCTCATCAGTATATGTTATTTAACATTGTTGCGGTTGTCCTACATCGAGAGTATGATAGATGCAACCTTTGTCTCATTGTGAATGCATTTATACCAACTATAATTATCGTGCATTTTACAAGTAGTTTAATTGTGTAGGGAACATCGTGAATTTATTAAGCGGTCACATCGTCGTCTCAGAGATTATGATGTGGATCGTCGTCACAATGATGAGTTTCCCAAATGGTTCAATTCTCATGTAAGTGCATGTTAAGCACAAGTCTTCTATATTTTTGCAATCCATGTGCTTCTATATTTTTGAAGTTGTTAATTGATGTTTAATATTGATAACTGTTTTTGAAAAATAGGTTACTGAGCTATTAGCTACTGAAAATGTAGCGTTGTCAGAAGAGATTAAAATTTTGGTTTTGGGTATATAATTAATGGTACTAGGTATCATACTAAGAGTTGTGAGTTGAGAAGAAAAACTCAGAACAGTGGGGTTATGGTGATGGCAAAGACTTCTAGCTATGCAAGTGCGAAAGACATTAATCTAGTGGAAGGTGATGTAGCGTACTATGGATATGTGACAGATATTATTGAATTGTATTACTCACACAACCATAGATACATGTTATTCATGTGCAACTAGATTGATAACAATAAGGGACTCAAGCAAGATGATTTTGGTTTTACACTTGTTAATTTCAATCACTTGTTATATGCGAAGAAACAAGACAGTGATGAGCCATTCATCCTAGCATCTCAAGCACAACAAGTCTTTTATGTTAATGATTCTGTTGATGAAGATTAGAATGTTGTACTCAATATGAAACCTAGAGACTTGTATGAGGTGTGCGGAGAACAACCAACTATTGATGAAGGACTACATCACAATGAATTGGAAGGATT